CAACTGTGTGGATGTGCTATACAAATCTATTAAAAAGTATATATCAATCTTATCGCCATATAAGGGATCAAATTAATTTTTAATATGGTAAAAATCGTAGCAAAATCTTCCAGTCAAATGAGCAGTAATTTGGAATTTGCTGTATTTTATATACTACATAATTGAGGGCTGAATGATTTAACAATAGCCAAAGTTAATTACTTTTTTAAACCCATTAGCAACTTAGATTGTGCATTAGAGTCCTCATAAGTCCCCCTAACCATGTCAGTCTGTTTGTCCGCCAAAAGGTGGACTTGAGAGGGTATTATAACATGGATAAAAATTCTAAAATTTGTAGATATGTTGAAATTTTAGTGTAAGATTTTCACCCCCCTAATACGCATTATTAGCCAAATTCTTTGAAATGTGCTTAAATTAGGAGGTACCTTCTTTATATGGGCACTACTCCGAAACATCGACCTACATTGAAAACTTTCTTCTACCCCTTATAATCCAAGATGACAAATAGAGGCCAAATCAAAAATATAGCAGAACAATATAGCATGTCATAGCATTTCGCGTGATTTAAATAAGTAAAAATAGTTTTATCCACCTCATAATTGAGGGCAGAATGATAAGATGGGAATTAATTTTATTTGCCATTTAAATTGTAAGTTGGAGACCCCTTAAAGTCCATATTTTCATCATAGGATAATTCAATGATGATTAAACAAATATTCGGTCCCGTGCTACTTTCTTATATTTGTAATTTCTTCATGTTTCCACAATTTATTTCATATGGATGCACATCCCAAATCTACGTTCCCAACCAATATTCTCTTGGGGGTTAAAAATTCAATAGAATACAAAATTTTCTTTTCTGACCACACATTAGATGTGAAAGTGGACTTGGGGATACTCCAATGTGGGGACTTTACTTAAATAAATTCCTATGTGGCAATTATCTGTATGATGGTTCCCTACCCCAGGGTGGCATAAATAAAATTTTTTAGCCAAATCAATTGAAGAATGTGGTCAATACCAATATGGGCCCTACTCTGAAAATTTCAAATTTTATGCGAAGAGGTTATCTACCCTCCTAGAAACAAAAATGTCAAATAAGGGCCAAAAAATGAAAAAAGTGGCCGGCCAAGACCCCAAAAATAACTTAAATCATAGATGGTTATATAAATATGAAATCGGGTTGTTCCCTTATCCGTGAGTTATGATCGATATAAAGACCTGCAAAAGTGATTTTAGGTATTTTGAATGTTTGGGAAGAATTTCTGGAAGGATATAAAACCTTTTCTTACTGAAAGTCCCATTCGCTCTACTATTTTGCACCTTTTATTTCAATATTGGTATATTACTTATTATTCTCCCAAAGAATTTTGCATTTTGAGCTCTCATTGGACGGATCATTGCCACGCTTTGAAATGAGCCCCATTAAGCTTTTTCGGTCATTTTTGTTTGTTTAAATGTGTTCGCATCTTCCAGCTAACCCACGATGTAGGCCCTGGAGTTGAAAGGTAGATGTCAGTTAACATCCTATTTCGCACTTATTTAATTTTTTTAGTGAAAAATTATTCTTTATTTTGTTCACAAAAAATCCACTGAATTCAATATGATAATACAAATTGAAAAAAAAAATTGACAAAAAAAAAGAATAACAAATTGAAAAAGTCTTCAACTTTTTCGCTGATTTTTTACAGCAAATGTTTTAAGATCCTTCCTTACAAAGTTTGTCAATAGAATGTACTATTACTTTAAAATTCGATTCCATTGAAAATGTTTTTTGATTTTTGCAATGAGATCTCTTTTTCATGATTTTTCAGCGATTTAGAAAAAGTAATTATCTTTTAACTTTGGTGTGACCGCGTTAAATTATTTCGATATCATCTATTCCGTTTCGCCACCACATAATTCGCTACTACACTTCCATGTAACCCGCCATCAATTTCAGTTCTCAAGAAATCAAGTCAATTAAATAAATTGGTATAAATATTCGAATTCAAAAATAAAATATAAAAAAACACTACAAATGTACATTAGAAAAAAGTAAGTCAAAATGGAAAAAAATCATGCAAAATAAAACATTACTATTGTACATTTGAAAAGTCAAAATGAAAATGTTAATATATCACATTTTTACGCGATTTTTTTGGATATTATCCTTTTCGGAGAGTAGACAACTCCGAATTTGTGTGAATCGTTAAAATTAATCCAGCGGTTCTTAAGTTATAAGCGTAGTAACTAACACAACTTACATTTATATATATAGATTCCGTTTCGCCACCACATAATTCGGCACTACACTTCCATGTAACCCGCCATCAATTTCAGTTCTCAAAAAATCAAGTCAATTAAATAAATTGGTATTAATATTCGAATTCAAAAAAAAAAATTAATATAATATATATAATATAAAAAACACTACAAATGTACATTAGAAAAAAGTAAGTCAAAATGGAAAAAAATCATGCAAAATAAAACATTACTATTATACATTTGAAAAGTCAAAATGAAAATGTTAATGTATCACATTTTTACGCGATTTTTTTTTTGGATATTATCCTTATCGGAGAGGAGAAAATTCCGAATTTGTGTGAATCGTTAAAATCAGTCCAGCGGTTCTTAAGTTATAAGCGTAGTAACTAACACAACTTACATTTATATATATAGATAATGTATGGTAAAGTCAATTAACCAGATTTTGGCTTGGACAAAACAAAAGCAACTCTGTTGTACATTCATATGACCGCTGCAATTTCAGTAGTTTTTACTGTTATATTTATCGCTTTTTGCTTCCTTCGACAATTTCGCTTGTCATAAATCGTTTTTGAGAAGTTTTTTACAACAGCATGTGATTTTCTTTTCGTTTTTTAAGTACTGCCCAAAAAAGTTTAAAAATGACTAGAAGCAAATACAGTACATGAATAAAACAGCAAATTATCAGTGACTATGAAAACAAAATATCACAGAAAATGATTTTCGAGAAATATTTCATAAATATTTCTGTGATTTCATAAATATTTATGTATACTAAGACGGTTTTATGAAAGTGGATCAGTAGTAACAGTCTATAACGGAAGAAGACCGTGAAAAACTTCAGCCCGTACTGATCAACAAATTGTGAGAGAAATAAAGAGAGAGCAATCATTGGATATAAGCTCGAGATCAGTGCGTAGACGAGTAGTGGCAGCTGGTCTGCATGCCCGTAAGACATCAAAAAACCATTTATATCTGAAAAAATCAAAAAGGCTTTCGGAAACGATAATATTAAGTGGAATCAAGCTCAATGGAAAAAAACATTATTTCTGGGATGAGTCTACGTTTAATATTAAAGGCTCAGACGTGAAAAATTTTACGGTGAGAAGACAAAAAAATGAAGGACTCAAGCCGCAGTGTTGCAAAGGTACAATGAAGCATGAGGGAGGGTCAAAAATGGCGTGGCGCTGTTCTTCTTTCAATGGGCTTGGGCCTATCCATGAAATAAATGAAGTTATGGATCGGTTTGTTTACAAAGATGTGTTGAGCATCACGTTGTTCCCTTACGATGAGTAAAATATTCGGCTAACTTAGGTGTTTCAGCATGACAATGATCCCAAACTTGCACCAAAACTTGTCAAATATTGGTTGCGGGAGTCATAAATCGATGTTTTGTTATGACCGGCACAATCACCTGACCTAAACTGCATAGAAAACCTTTAGAGTATCGTAGAGAGGAAGATCAATCGAGATTCGGGAAGAAATAAGCACAACATTTTCCAAAGAATTCGGGGTGCCTGGGAAAGCATACCAAAGGATCATATTGAGCGTGTTATAGATTCAATGACTCGTAGGTGTGCAGCTGCTATCAAAAGTAATGGATGCTATCGACTACTAGCCAAAATTTAATTATTTTAAATTAAAAAATCAAAAAGTTGCTTTAGTTTTGACCAAGCAAAAATTAGGTAATTTTAGTTTTCCATATATTATTTTTCGTTCAAAATTATTTTTGTATTTTTATTTTTAGTTTCTTAAAAGTGAATTAAAGACCTCATTTAAAAGTGGAAAAATAATTATGTTTTGTTTATTTTTGTAAAAGTTACAGGACATTTATTGTCTTTGCGATTGCAGTTGCTTTAGTTTTGGCCACCAGAGTAACAGGTTCTAACTCGTGTGGCGAATCATTGTATGTATAGTTCCATGTTTTGGTATAGCCCCATATAACAGTACCTTCCGATATTCGGTATTTTGATAATCCTAGTCATATTTACCCACGAAATTGTTTAAAATTTCGTATTTTAGAAGATTTGGTAGATGACAATGCTTGAAGTATAAAATTTTCTATAAAGGTTTCCGTTTTGGTATGGCTCCCATATAACGGCCTAACCCACTTTATAGTTTTTTTTATATATTTAACATCTTTCTCCAATAATATTACTGGTATTAGTAGTTTAAAGTGGAATACGTTTGAATTCAGATACTTTTATAAAAATGTTTTCTTTACCCAATGGTTTAAGTTGGGCCCGGCCGAAGTTTGGCCAGGCCGAACTTAATGTCTTTTACTCATTCATTCTTAATTTCCAGTCTTACTGAAAATTTTGATAATTTCATAAGATTTTTCTATTTTGAATTTTTAAATGTCTTAATTTATTTTTTCGATAAATGCTCTCATTTGTTAGGGATGGCACATATTTCAACTTAGTTCTGTAAGTGATTTGAATGGAACAAAGAAAAAAATCCTTGTTCGCTTAGCAAGTTTTATGTGAGGAATTAAGAAGATATTTTATATTTAATTGTCGAACAACGAATAAAGAGCGAATCAAGTGTCATATGAACTTAGCATTAGTAGCTTTTGAACTACTGTGATTGAACTTAGTTGTCTGATGGAGTTACTGGCCGACCTTATATAGACTATGGTCGACTTGTTAGCTTTTATGCCATTTTTCCATGACCAAAATAGAACGCCACTACTAGTATCTATTGTCGACTCAAGAGATCAGTGGAATTTCCCGTACGTGCACTGTTATACTCACTATATGTGGTGGCGCCAGAATATATATACAAGCTTTTCGTCCGATTATGTTTTGTAAAAAGCCTATGGCAAGATTCCCACAAACACTACCAAGCCCAAGCAACGAACCAATCCACGATGCATCTTCGACGGTCACAGGAAACTCCAACGGACTTGTGTCGGATTGCAATTTTGAAAGTGTTGGTGACAGCCATCCCAAGCCGATGCCATGTGAAAAAGTAAGAATGCAAACTTGAAAAGAAAAAAACAAAACGAATAATAAGTATATTTTGATCTATTCACAGGTGTAAGGAGAAGCTATTAATATAGAAGAGTGTGTGTATTAAATTAAAGCAGACACAACGTCGTATACTTGATGATTTTAATAAATCCAAATAAATGCATAGCGATAGGATGTAACAATTTATATAGAGCGTTGCTCGCTTACACAACAGTTTCTGTAAGAGAGAGAGAGAGAGAGAGAGAGAGAGAGAGTGAGAGAGCGCAATTGGATAGAGCAATTTTAATGATTGTCTTACTGACAGTATACATATTCTCACTTGGAAACTTTGTCTAGTAAAACTTTCCAATATGATCAATTGTTCCAATAATAATCAATTGTTTTCCAACCTGGCGTTTACACGCGACAAATTGTTTTAGATTAGAGTTGCACCCTACCAGCATTATAAAAAATCAAAGAACAATTAGTAAAAAACAAAAGAAGAGAACGAATAAAGATATAATTGAGAGGTAATCAAATTAATTTGGATAACTACGTCACATCGACAAAATTGGTGCTTTCGCCAATCAATACGTAGACTACACATGAAAATAACTTAGAGTAAAATTCGAAGATATACAGGGTGAGATAAAAAAACTGCAACAAAGTCAAAACCCATAATTTTTACATTTTTTTTTTAATTTTATTGAATGAAAGCAAAAAATGTCGGAAATAGCATCAAATTTTAGAATAAGTTCGGATTTATTCGAATTGGTCACTTTAGGCACGAATTGTGGCCTTCAAACGGCCAATGAAACCGTCACACGCTGCCCGAAAGATACTCTGCGGTATTTTGGCCCATTCCCGGCGAAGCGCTTGCTTGAGGTGATTGACACTTTGGTATTTTTTAGTGCCAACCTTGCTTTCCAAAATACTCCAGACACAATAGTCCAACGGACAGGTATTCGGAGAATTTGGTGGCCATTGTGCGCTGGAAATCAAGCGAGGAACCTCATTTTGTAACCATTCTTGGGTGAGGCGTGCTGAGTCCTGTTGGAATGTCCCAGGTCTGCGGCCAAAATGTTTGCGTGCCCAAGGCTTTAATACACCCTCCCGAATATTTTCGCGATAATATTCGACATTTATTCTGATGCCACGGCCGATTAATACGAGCGGAGAGCGACGTCAGCTGTTATGGCGGCGCACACTATCACCATGGCCGGCGCTTAAGCTCTGGTGGCCAACCGAAGGTGCACATTTTCAGCTGACCTTGTTGGCAAGGAAACACGATCATTTTGTTTGTTTAACAACTGCTGGACAACGAATATTTTCTCATCGGAAAAACCAAATTCAGCAGTTCACCACTTTCGGCCAAACGAAGCAACTCATTAGCTCTTTATAGTCTATTTTCTTTCTGTTGCGGTGTAAGCTCGGAGTAAAGCCACTTAAATTCCAAAAAGTGCAAGAATTTGGAATTTAAGTGGCTTTACTCCGAGCTCATTTTTCAATATTTGCCGAATGGAATATTGCGATATGTTCAGCACACGAGCCATTTTTCGGCCATTGCGACGCGGGTTTCGATCAAGTCGCTTCTTTACTTTTCGAACCATTTCTGGTGATGGTGCTGTTTTCTTCCGTCCACTTCCTTGACGTCGGGCTACGCTACCAGTATCACGGTAACGAGAGATGGTACGAGACATAAAAGATTTATTCACATTTAAATGCTGGAGTGCTCTAACGATAGCAACTTGTGGTTTTCCAGCCAAATATAAAGAAATCACACTATCACGCTTGAATTCCATCACGAATTACTTTTTTCCGAAAAATTCTCACCAAAAATGACAGCAGTCTGAAGTTGGTTGCAGTTTTTCCATCTCACCCAGTATTTCGAAACAATACTTTCAATCACAAAATTCGGACACACTAAGAGGCAATTGTAATCAGCTGCTCCATATATTTTCATTATACCATAGGTTTAACTTTCTCACTAATCCAAAAATGTCATTTAATATTATATATGTTTATATAAAATTGACCGTTTTTGTAAGTTAAGAGACCCACAAAAAACAATCTAGTTCCGAATTGTTTCGTTCAAATTGAGCCAAAACTCCAGACATCTGATGAAAAATTCTATGCAGATATTTGTCATTGACGTTCGTCCCAATACACACCTGTCAGTGTTGCCAAAACTTGATGTCGAAAGCGGTTTGTTAAAATACTTGTTGAATTGATGGTATTTTTCGCCATGGCCTCTGCCTTCTATGTGGTTAGTACCTAAAATGAAACAAAACAATAGTTATTTTGTATCTGAGAAGCAGTGGATCGCCATGGATTTTTGCTGAAGATTTCCGTGGCACTTTAATGGTCCTAAGCCATGTTATCTGTGTATGTGGGTGTGTGTGTGACAGCATGATATATGACAAGGCCCCCATGTTATTATTGCAATATTGGGTTGCAACGAATTTGAATTTAATTTGAAAGATAATCTCAACAATTTCTCTTCAAAAAAGTTTTTTGATTTTTATTTTATTTTTATTTCAGAACAATGAATTAATATTCAAATAGTTTATTAACAACTTCATCGCACAGAAAGGGTGTTATTTTCAAAAGGAAACAGTTTTTATAAATCTCAAATACATTTTTAAATTATAACAAGTAAAAAAATCATTAAGTTCGGCCGGACCGAACTTTTAATACCCTCCACCATTGGGCAAAGAAAACAATTTTTATATATATGGGTATATTAAGTTTGTCATTCCGTTTGTAACTCATCGAAATAATAATTTTAGACCCAACAAAGTATATATTCTTGATCAGCATAAAATTCTAAGATGATTTAGCCCTGTCTGTCCTTGCGCCCTTCTGTTCACGCTACAATCAAAACGAATTAAGATAGGACGCTAAAATTTTGCACAGATCTGTATTTTGTCTGCAGGCAGGTTAAGTTCAAAGATAGGCTATATCGGTCCACGATATCGTATAGCTCCCATATAGCAGAACCTCCCCCCCCCCCCCCATATTCGGTATTTTGATGATTTTAGCCACATTTTTTATCGAATTGCCTGAAATTCTACACAAGGAGTTCGTTGTGAACACTTTATCCCCTGAAATAGAATTGTCTATATAGGTCCACGATATCATTTTTCAACAGAATTGTCTAAAATTCCACACGAGAAGTTAATTGTGAGTACTTTACCCACAGACATAGATTTGTCCATATAGGTCTACAATATCGTATATCCCCCCAATATATCGGCACCTTACGATATTCGGTTTTTTTTAAGATTTTAACAGAATTTTTAATGTATTTAATTTTTTTTTTGAAAGTTTGCCAATTCGTTCCCAATGGTGGAGGATATTCAAAGTTCGGCCCGTTAAACTTTTCAAAAAAAAAAACATAAGCAGGTTAGGCCGTTATAAGGGTTAGAATATACCAAAACGGGAACCTCTATAGAAAGTTTTATACTTCAAGGTTGTCATCTAACAAATCTTCTTAAATGCCAAATTTGAAACAATTTCATGGGTAAATATGACTAGGATTATCAAAGTATCGAATATCGGCGGGTATCGTTATACATGTGCTATAGGAAAATTCACATTTAAATGCTGGAGTGCTCTAACGATAGTCACTTGTAGTTTTCCAGCTAAATATAAAGAAATCACACGATCACGCTTGAATTCCATCACGGATAACTTTTTTTCTGGAAAATTCTCAGCAAAATACTTTTGTAGGCGTGTAAACAATATAGTGAGCTGTCACTGGAATAATTTTAACAGCTGTCGGACATGTGGCTTAGAAATGACACCCTGCATATGGGAAATATATCTAAATCATTTTTTAAGATGAATGTTCTGAGATCGTAGACACATTATGTTTTTGCGGATGTTTAAATGTGATGTCGACCTATCATTTCATCTTGATCGGACTATAAATAGAGTCTGTAATAGTAATGTAATAAAGAGGTTTCATAAAGATAATCAAAAGTATAAAAATATTAAATTTTGCGTTTATGAAACATTTCTTCTTTTCTTTTTTAAGAACTCTTTTCGAAACAATTTCTTCAACTATAGAAGATTCGTTCAATCCTGTAAATCTATCTACGGTTATACCTTATTAAATGTTTAAATAATATTCGTCAAACAATACTCGTATTCTAGGAGTAAGTCAAGTAAAAAACATCTGACATTCATTTGACTGTGTGTTTTTTATGTTTTTCTCCATACAGGCCATGCCCTTCAAAACATACACTACCATATACCTTATTTTGCCTCAGGAATATATTTTAATATTTCAATTTTATGCGTTAATATTTTGCACACATGAAACTCAAAATATATTTCGCCATCTCTTCAGTCCTGACTCGGTACACACTAATATCTATAAATGTTTGTTATCCAAATTCGGAACAATATTTAAATACTAAGAACAGTGAAAAAAGTGTTTTCTCTTCTTAATAATTTAAGAAAAGTGCTGGTCATAAAATCTGACGCTGATAAAAAAGTAATCTCGCTTTGTTGTCACACTATGACTGTCATATTTGAGAATCCATAAATCTCTCTACGTATGCCCACCAACTGGGAACTGTTAAAACCAAATACTGGAGATGCGAGGTATTTATTTGTTTTTGTGTTCATCAAATTCAAATACATATATTTGAAATTGCAAGGCAGAGGTGATCAAATATACATCTAATTATATCGTACATATATCTGTATATAAATAAGTACAGGGTGAAGCTGATATCTTTTCATTTTTTTCATAGCCGTTAAAGTTTTTTTTTAGAAAATTGTGTTTGTCAATTTTCACTATTGACATATGACATATACATGAATGATTGGCTTTGCCTGTATTCAACAGCCTTTTTTGAGCTGAGTTTCAATTGGATTTTCCACAGGTCAAAATGTCCATGTCTATTGGGCAATTAATGCGACGAAGGCATAAATCGACTTAAAATGCAATATTATGAAAGCATCAAAAATAACTATTTTTTCCTTCTTAATGTAACAAACGAACACAAAAAGACATAATACCCTGTATCACAGTGCGGTGTATGGTATAACCATTTGTACTATTTATTCAACATTATCTATTTCAGCTATGACGTACATATTTACACAAAATATTGTCCAGATATTTCACAACAATCCGAAATTTTGGGTTGGTATAAAAACATACAAATATTAGTTTATAAAGTTAATAATATAGACATCTACAGATTAAATCATCTGCCATGTAGCGACATTTTTTTTCGAAACGCCATGTTTGTTGTATATACACCCGTTAACAACGTTACTCACTAATAAACCCATGAATTCCTCACAGATAAAACGCACTAGTCAACTATTTCAAGACATGGAGATGCTTGAGGATTTATCTTTTAAAATAACAAAAAAAAAATAAACATAGTAACACACAATGCATTTGTTTTTTATACCCTACAACACTATGTGTTGGGGATATTATAAGTTTGATTGGGCCAAAAATTATGTAATTATGTAAATTATTATTATATAAATATTGGTTAGGATATATGGATCTTTCTATCTCGCCGAGCTGAGTCGATCAAGCTATGTATGTCCGTCCGTACGTCTGTCCGTAAAACCATAACTTTTATGTAAAAAATAAGTAAATTTGCACTAAACAGCGAATATTTTTAATTCTGCTGAAATCACAAAAGCCCAAAAATTTCACTTCTGACCGTTACATTGATGCTAATATCCAAAATATCGCATATATAGCAAAATATCTACAATCTCATACATAATGAAGGGGATTTTAGTTAGCTGGACGGATTCTGAAAATTCTCAGAAATTTGGATTGTCTTCTTGCAAGAAAAGGATAAACATAAGAAAATCGCGTGAAAATATGTCAATTCAAAAGTGAATATTTTTTTTATATTTTTGTCATATGTTTTATCGCATGCGATTTTTTCATATTTGACTTACAATATTGAATTTTACGTTTGGTAATATTTTTTCACCTTATAACACTACGTTTTTAGATTATTCGAAATTATCATCCGATTCTCAAGAAATTTAGCATGTGGATAGAATTAGAGTCAGAATTAAAGCTTATTATTTTTCAAGATATACATTTAGGGGATCAAATGGACCAAAAATTAAAACTTTCCTGATCTTGAAGAGGCTCTACAGGTCACAATTAAAAAACAATCGACATGGAATTTTGCATTAAGTCAAGGGTTGGGACAGCGCAGAAGTAAAGCATTTTTGACCATCCGTGAACTATGGTTAGCGGTAAAAATGGACCACAACTTTTGTGTGAAATGTTTTTCGATACCCATCTGCTCGACATAAAGAGTAAATATAGAAAAATAGCCCCGGTTAAAAACCAAAGGCCACATATGTGCAGGACAGTATAGCATTATTTCAAATAATTGACTAAAATGCGTTGGGACCTAAGGAGGTTTTCCAATATATTATGGTGTTGCAGGGTATCACATGGTAGGCCCCGCACGACTATAGCCTTTGCTTACTTGTTTTTAATATACTTTTTTACATACTGTAAAGTAAGTACATACCATACAAAGTATAGTATATTTAGTTTTTCATTCCGTTTGTATCTCGTCGAAATAATAATTTTAGACCTATACTTTGTTGATCAGTGTAAAATTCGAATACGATTTAGCATTTCCATTCGTCCGTCGTCTGTCCGTCTGTTGTAATCGAATTAAGATAGGAAGCTAAAATTTTGTCTGCATGCAGGTCAAATTCGAAGATGGGCTATATCGGTCCACGATATCGTAAAGCTCCCAATATTCAGTATTTTGATGATTTCAGCCAAATTTTTCAATGGAATTGTTTTAAAATCCACAAAAGAAGTTCTTTGTGAGTACATTACCCCCTAGAAGAGAATTGTCTGTATAGATCCACGATATCATATATCCCCTATATAACTGTTCCTCCCGATATTCAAATTTTGCATATACAGTTACTACAGCCTATGACACAAATTACTTATGTACAACCACGTCATCGTATAGCCCCCATATAACGGTTTTCATTTAAGCGGTATTTTCCGACAGATTTTTTTTTTTAAATTTTCAAGAACTTAACTGTTTTTTTACTTGTTTTTTTAGATAATTTTTAGAGACTGCAATTTTACTATTAATATTTATATATTTATGTGCAGTGGATTCCAGCGAAAGTCGGGCAGATTAAAAAATAGTTATTTACGTTATTAATATCAGCAAACAAAAGGAGATTCTAAAAAAAAAAAATAATGACATTTGTTACTCTATTCTGTGCACCATGCAATACCTCAGATAATGAAATCAACATTCCGTTTACATAACTAACAAGAAGGATTTTTAGCTCACATGATACGAAATGGTACCAAAAATGATACTTTTTAGTACCGCTGTAGTACGAATTTCCAAAAACCCAGCCTTATCTTACACCTACGGATGAAGAGTGACCCTCATCGATTTCGACAAAAAATTAGAAAAGATATTTTTTGGGCGGTATCTGATGTTTTGTACCGAATTGGATGAAACATAAGTATGAAAGCTATAGGTATATCTCAACCGATTTTCTTCTTACATCTAGGATGAATTCTCCTCCTCGAATTACTCATGATAGGCCCAACAAAGTATATATTCTTGATCAGCGTAAAATTCTCAGTCGACGTAGCTATGTCTGTCTGTTGTAATTCCGCTATCTTTTGAACGATTTGATATAGAAGCCAAAAATTTTGCACACATGAGTATTTTGTCAGTAGGCAGGTAATATTCGGTACTTTGACGATTCCTAACAGAATTATTAAAAATCCTATACTTATAGTTTTAACGAGTCCTGTGACAGAACCTCCATATAACTGTATCTCCCGATATTAGATATTTTATGTATTTAAACCATATTTTTAAAACGGATTTGTTTATAATTCAGTACTTAGAGTTCGTAATGGGTTCTTCCTCCCGTGGAAGATCATTGCCAATATGTTCAGATTTTGCCCCACTCACGTTTCAACACTTCCATATATTCGCTATTCTGATAATTTTGACCACGTTTTTAAGGGAACCGTATAAAAATCGATATGTAGAGTTTATAATGGGTTCTGCCAGAAGCTCATTATTTATTTTACCACTTATAAAGCGGTACCTCCGAATATTTGCTATTTTGGTGATTTAAGCCACATTTTTAGCAGATCTTTTATAATTTGGTATTTAACACATTGACAACAGCTTTAGCAGGAAACCGGTATCGGTATTTACAGCATTTTTAAGAATTGTTAACAATCAATTAAGCACACAAATTCCCTCTTTTCTTTTCAGTTTTCAATAACATCATTATTACCAAGTGTATTTACGGAAACGCAATAAAAACTAACAATGATCGCAATGAATCGGTATAACTGTATTCGGATGATGAAAATATTTTGAATAACGTAGAAATTAGATCACAGTTTTCGTATTTCAATTATTACGGTATTTTTAAGGTCGTCAAATTATCGGCAATGAGTTATAGAAAAGTTTTGGCATTTAAACGTTGGGAAACCGCGGTTATTTTGTTGTTTAAAAATGGTCAAGTTTCATACCACTGTTGTCCTTTTATAAAAACAACTTCTGTTTATTAGTGGAGAAAGACGGATGGAAGAATGTTTACCAGTGGCTAACGCAGGGAAAAACAAGGTATCGAAAAGAGTTTGACACAAGTCAAAGGAAATAATAAGGATTTGTGGCTCCAAAGCCATAAGGTTTTCCTGCATAACCCATTAGTAAATATTGTCATTTTTTTCTCTACTAATAAATAAACGTTATTTTATTAAAAACAAAAACACCAACAATGGAAATTCATTGTAGATTCTCGGTTTTAATCGAAAAATTTAAACTTGAATGTACTTTTAAATTATAAAAACTTGCATCATAAGATATTAATTTCAAATCTAAAACTTGCGTTAATATAGAGAATATCGATAGCTAGGCTAACTTATGCTTACTAATTCGAATGTATAGTGCAATGATACTGTCATGGTAACGACAAATATTTGTACTACAACAGATGGAGCTGTATTTGATCTGTAATGTCAGTGGGAATAATTAGTATGCACGGTGTGGCATTTTTAAATCGACGAATTTAAGTCTCTAGAATTGCAAGAATATAACAACTTTTTCCGAAATCGCAAAGGAAAATTCGATTATCGTAGAAACCTTATACATTCTTGCACAGAGCATACATTTAATACAATCGCAAAATTTCCCAAACAGTCAGATTTAATATTTTTATATGATCCTCCCTACTATAGAGATTATAACAACTTTATCATTCTATTTGTAATTATAGTATTTATATTTTAGATCAACGTAAAATTATATGATGGTATCTTCCGATTTTCGAAATTATATATATAATGGTTGAGGACATAAATCTGCAGGCGAAACAGACCGATACTTTTTAACTTCTAATTTGGTATTTGACACTTTGACGACCATTTTACCAGGAAACCATACCATCGACTTTACGACATTTTGAGGACTTTACCAACCGATTTCACTAGCAAAAATTTTAGTGCACCTAAAATCCGATCCATAATTTTCTAATATTTCAATGGCAAGTATTTCAATCATGATATTTTAATGATAACATCTAACTTTCAAAATGAAAAAAAAGTTTTCAAAACACCATGAAGTGTTAGATACCTCTAAGTGCAGACTGCACTAAAACGAGAAAATACATCTCAAATATTATTATCTATTGCGATACATAATTTGAGAAAAATGTTGTTGAGAAAAGGACAGGCAACCCACTGCCACACGAGACAGACCCCTTTACATTCCTAATTTGAAAGATTCCGCTACATATGTGACTAAAAGTATCAGAATTTCGATCAATAATATAAATACTTTGTAGGGTCTATGGTGATTACAAATAGAATGATAAAGTTATTATAACCTCTATAGTAGGGAGGATCATGTAAAAATATTAAGTCTGACTGTTTGGGAAATTTTGCGATTGTATTAAATGTATGCTTTGTGCAAGAATGTATAAGGTTTCTACGATAATCGAATTTTCCTTTGTGATTTCGGAAAAAGTTGTTATATTCTTGCAATTCTAGAGACTTAAATTCGTCGATTTAAAAATGCCACACCTTGCATACTAATTATTCCCACTGACATTACAGATCAAATACAGCTCCATCTGTTTTAGTACAGATATTTGTCATTGCCATGACAGTAACATTGCACTATAGATTCGAATTAGTAAGCATAAGTTAGCCTAGCTATCGATATTCTGTATATTAACGCAGATTTGAAATTAATATCCTTTGATATACGTTTTAATAATTGAAAATATTTAAAAGTATATTCAAGTTTCAATTTCCGACAAAAACTGATTATCTACAATGAATTTCCATTGTTGGTGTTTTTGTTTTTAATAAAATAACGTTTATTTATTAGTAGAGAAAAAAATGACAATATTTACTAATGGGTTATGCAGGAAAACCTTATGGCTTTGGAGCCACAAATCCTTATTATTTCCTTTGACTTGTGTCAAACTCTTTTCGATACCTTGTTTTTACCTGCGTTAGCCACTGGTAAACATTCTTCCATCCGTCTTTCTTCACTAATAAACAGAAGTTGTTTTTATAAAACAACAACAGTTGTATGAAACTTGACCATTTTTAAACAACAAAATAACCGCGGTTTCCCAACGTTTAAAGGCCAAAACTTTTCCATAATTCATTGTCGATAATTTGACGACCTTAAAAATACCGTAATAATAGAAATACGAAAACTGTGATATAACTTCTAATTTCTATGTTATTCAAAATATTTTCACCCCCCGAATGCAGTTATACCGATTCATTGCAATCATTGTTAGTTTTTATTGCGTTTCCGTAACTTACATCGCCATGTACGTATATAAACAATACTTGATAATAATGAAATTATTGAAAACTGAAAAGAAAAGAGTGAATTTCTGTGCTTAATTGATTGTTAAAAATTCTTAAAAATGCTGTAGAGTCGATGGTTTCCGGTTTCCTGCTAAAGCGGTTGTCAATGTGTTAAATACCAAATTATAAAAGATTTGCTAAAAATGTGGCTTAAAACACCAAAATAGCAAATATTCGGAATATATAATGAGCTTCTGTCACAGAAGATAGAACCCATTACAAACTCTACATATCGATTTTTATAGGATTCCCTGAAAAATGTAGCCAAAATCACATAAGATGCAGTAACTGTTCCGAACTTTATATACGAAATGTGAAACAGTTCCGGTAAATAACGTCGCAAATATCATCAAAATACCGAATATGGGGAGGAACCGTTATATAGGGAATATATGATATCGTGGATCTATACAGACAAGGGGGTAATGTACTGACAAGGAACTTCTTTTGTGGATTTTAAGACAATTCCATTGAAAAATTAGGCTGAAATCAACAAAATACGGAATACGGCGGTACCGTTATATGAAAGCTATACGATATCTTGGAGTTATATTGACAATTCTCCTCTAAGGGATAAAGTACTCAAAAAAACTTCTGTGAGTATTTTCAGACAATTCCATTGAAAAATGTGGCTAAAATCATCAAAATACCGAATATCGGGGGTATCGTTATATGGGGGCTATACGTTATCGTGGACCTATATAAATATTTCTCTTCCATGGGGTAGAGTGTTTCGAAAAAACTTCTAGTATGAATTTTTAGACAATTCCATTGAAAAATGTAGCTAAAATCATCAAAATACCGAATATAAGGAAGTACCGTTATATGGGGATATACGTTATTGTGGACCTATATAGACAATACTTTACCCCCAGGAAGTTCTTAGAAAGAACTTCTAGTATTGATTTCATTGAAAAATTTGGCTACAAACATTAAAATACGAAATATGGGGATGTACCCTTATATTGGGGATATACGATATCGTGGACCGATATAGCCCATCTTCAAACTTGACCTGCCTGAAGACAGAAGACTGACCTGAGCAAAATTTTAGCTTCCTATCTATTTTCTTTTTGACTCTAGCGTGAATACCACAGACGGACAGGGTAGAGGGTATAAAAATTAGTTACTAAATGAGGCTGTAAGTAAGCACCGGATTTTAAACAATTCTGTTGGATAAACAATGTTCTGATTTCTAAACAATTCGGTTTGAAAATGTAGCTAAATTGTCCAAATACCGAATATCGGGATATATTGTCGTATGGGGGCTATAAAAAAACGTGGAGCTGCATAGACAATGTTCTGCCACAGGAGGTACAGCCCGTCACAAACTCTACGTACCGAATTTTAAAAAAATCTCTTAGAAAATGTGATCCTAATCGTCAAAAAACCGAATACCTGGATGCTGTTATATTACGAACTTAACCTGCCTTCTGACAAAATATACATGTGTGAAAAAATTAAACCTTCTGTCGGAATTCGTCAGTGATTGCAACAAACAGACAGCCATCGGTAAATCGGCTTAGAATTTTACGCTGATGTAGAATATATATGCTCTGTTGGTTCTAACATGAGTATTTCGAAGAGTTGCAAAGGGAATGACAAAGTTATGTATGTTTGGTGGAGGGCATTTATTTCCTTTCGACATTCATTAACAGGCCCTTAAAGTATTCAACATTATTATAAATAAATTTTTTCTTCTTCTTTAAAGTATCTAAATAAGTATCTGTTTCAGGTCGATTTGTGTGTCATTGCAAGAGAGTTGTGTAAATGTAAATTCCCAGTTGTGTAAATGTGATCTCTCATGGAATGTTTAATGCTATAGTGCTCTAACATTTTGATCTGTATTAAAGGTTTTTGGAACCGTTTGGAATCATAAATAATGACAATTACACATGGATTTCATCTATAACTAATATTAAAACAATAGTCTTATAAATAATAGGGCGAGGGTACATATGTATTTTGTTACAAATACCTTTACAGGGGATATACTTTTAATTTTTATCAATTTATTTTTATGTAAAGAGCTCACTGGATGACCACATTTTTTAAGAATATCTAGATTTAATATCGACTGAACTATTCAAATGGCATCGATACTATTTAGCACTTCGGATTCACAGACATCTTAACCCCCTTCATGTGATACACCTATAATCTCCGTAATATCTCTTCGATGGGTTTGCCTTTAGTTTCAGGAACACAAATTCCAATGAATATAGCTCCAATAAAACTACACGTTGAAAAAAAGAACATAACTCCATGCATGCCGATCAATTCGGAAAAGAGTCCCATGTACTGAAATTATATAGTAAGTAGAAAATTATTTTCGTTTCCAATTTAAGATTTTTACTTAGGAATATTAAATGATAAGAACATTCATGAACATTCAAGTTCTTTTTCTTAGTCTTACTCTTTTTGCCGCCACAATATATTGAATTTATCACACAAATAGTGTAGGTAAATAAATACGTTAGCAATGGATGTATACTTACTTTTAAAAGAAAGAATGAGTAAAGCCAAAGACATAGCATACAAATCATACATCCCAGATTACGAATCTTGGGCGGCATTATTTCAGCTACCACAACGAAGGGAAGTGTTATAACACCCCAGCATCCAATGAAAATGATGAATGAGAAGGAAGCCACGGGTATCCAAGATCCAGAAAGGGGATCACCGAAACACATGAATAAGCCCAGGCATAAAAGGCCAGTTCCAGTCCCAATTACGGATATTATGAGCAAACTCTGGAAATTTTCAAAAAAAAAAAAAAAAAGAATATCA